GACTAAAAGAGCAGCAACAAATTCCGTAAGGTGCAGTCCGTTTGTATCCATTCCTACCCAAGGTGAACCCTCTGTGTTCAAGAGAACCGAATTCCAGAGGATTTTCTTAGCTATAATCTTCAGGGATGGGAGCAGATCCCCAATAGTGTCTCTGGTTGGATCCAACTTGTGACTTTTTGGTAAGTTTGTTATTTACCCATGAGAGATTCTAACTCGTCTTGTTAGGTGCGCATGGAGTTGACTCTGACGCATTGCAACATAACATGGTTTCCTAAGCTGCGGTATAATCCTTTACAGGAGCAGGTGGCCACGCTCTTTCTCCAGTGGAGCAGCTGGTGGGTCCTACCTTCGGTCCTTTCTGTTAACAGTCAACTGCTTCACCATTTCTCTAGCAGGCCTTAATATCCTCTGCGACTCGTTGAGAATATCAGAGAACCTCGCAACTTGTTCTAGCCGACCTGGCTTTAAGAGAGGAAAGTTTAGAGCTGAACTCTTACCTGTAAGGAATACAGCCCCTCTGCTGATTTAAAATATCTCCTTTCTGGCTGGTAGGTAAGTAGGTAGGTAAGTTGGCTGGCTGGCTGGTTGGTTTCTCCTAGAAGAATGATATCACCATGCCCTACTCTTATTTGTTCTAAGATTATTAGAATCAGGAGATACATTTCTCCTTGAAAGTGGACCTTGACTCTCAGAGTCCCTCTAAGTCTTCAACATGATAGATAATATGGAGACAGCAGAATAAGAGCTCCAACATGAAAAGCCTGTGTGGACCCATGAATACCTGAGTCCATGAAATTCACTTGTCTGCAGACGAGGTCAATGGCCAAGACCTGCTTTCTTTCGTATTTATTTATAATAAACACATCTCCACAGAATGTCAGAAACACACTAAGTGAACTATAATTTACCTCAAACTAACCCACGGCCCTTGGTCTTAAGGCTGAAACTCCCTAGTGCAGCGGTTCCCAACCTGTGGGTCGTGACCCCTTTGGGGGCCAAACAACCCTTTCATAGGGGTCACCCGATTCATAACAGTAGCAAAATGACAGTTATGAAGTAGCAACGAAAATAATTTTATGGCTTGGGGG